ATATAATGGACAGAGAATATGAAATTGAACATTTTGGTTTCACCGCAGCACAATCTTCTCTAGAAAGTAAGTTTCAAAGCAATTTATTATACATTTTAATAAACATTTTCTCATCAAAAGGGAAATATTTTCTGCAAAAAATCTTGCGAAATGCCTTAGATGCTATGCTCAGTAAATTTAATGCCAGCGAAGAGACGAACGAATTATTGCGCCAAGCCAAGGAAGAAGTTTTTAGGAATATATGGCTATCCATGAATGATGATATAGAGGCTGCCAATAATTTGGATAGAAAATATTTTATTATACCAGATCACGTTCTACTGCCACAATATTTCGATCATATTAAATACACTGAAGAAAACGAACAGGAATTAGACAAACAATTGTCGTTGTTAAAGCACAACTTTTTAGAGGTAAGATAACAAATATTTTTTAAGTCTTAATAAAAAATTTATTGCTGATAAAAATTATATTAAACTAATTAGAATTCCATAATGCTGGCTTCACTCAAATTGGAAAATTCTCAGTATAAAAATTTCTCAACATTTGTGGAAGATGAGGTTAAAATACAAGATCAATTAAAGGAAGCTTTCAATAATGTTAATTTAAATAAAATTTATGAATTAGTAGATAAAACAAACAATTTAAAAACTAATGAATGTAATTTAGTTGAAAAAACTAAAAATTTACAATTGTAGGTAATATATGTTACACATTTTTTTTAAAAAATAATGAATCAAGCCTGTTTTTTTTTAATTTAAATTGATTTTGAAACAAGTAACTAGGTTTTTATATTAAAATATGTATGTATATTAAATTAAACCATGATACATGTTGTTATGTTATGTAGATATTAAACGATTTTCAAATATTTTTGGTTTGATTTATTTTATTTTTTTTATTACATAATGAAATATTTTTACCAAAAAGTACATTCGTTTCGGTCCTAATACTTTTTTCTATAAATAAACTTTAAATACGTTTCAAGCAATACTTCGTTGGTTTACACAAGAAATGACAAATTTAATCTTTTTGCAAGTTGCTAATATCGCGGTTTGTAATTAGCGTCTCAATATTTCAAATTTAAGGTGGCTTAGTTATTTTGACTTGTTCTAAAAAAACTAAAAAAAATTTAAACACTATTTTTTAAAGCAAGAAAAAGCTCTTAAAAGTTTATATCAAAACACGCAAAAACCTACAAAATTTTGAGTTGATTGTCAATACTGTTTCTTTATATTATTCGTTTTAACTGAACATACCCCTTGAAAAAAATCTAGAGTATTTATATTTTTTGTGCAATTTATTTGTTTTAGTAAAAAAATAATGTAAAGAAAAACTTTAAAAAATAAGAAAAATGTCTTCAAGGAATTTGACAGAAGTTTTCAATATTATGCGAAATAATGCTTCAAAAAATCGAACATTATATTCCGATGACAGAGTAAGTTTAAAATATGAAAACATATTTTTGGTGTCGTATTGATTTATTACTTTTTTCATTTGACTAAACAATAATTGTAATAAACAAACACCTGTAGAATAATGATGCTGATGCAGAGCTACTCCTAAGAAGATCTGTTCATGACGCTGAAGAGGGTTTAGAATTACGTGATGAATACGGTTCTCAACCGACATGGATTGACAAATTGGAGGAGGCTCAATACATTATGTCAAAGTGAGTTTGAAGATTAAACCTATTGGAATGTTATTTACATCAACTATTTTTCCTTATTTAGAATCAAACCAAAATTAGATGAACTTGGTTCTCTTCATGCGCGCCACTTGTTACGTCCAGCTTTTGACGAGAGCAAAGAAGATGAACTTGAAATGGAGTCGTTGAGTCAAGAAATTGCTAAATTAATTACTTCTACACACAGACATATACAATGTATACGTTCCAGTTTGGGAGTGGGTGGCAAATGGGAGCAACGTTTAACTGCCAATGTTGTCACATATTTAATGCTAAGTCTGCAAGAGCTGACAACTAAGTTTCGTTTAAGTCAGAATTCCTACCTCAGGCAATTAAATTCACGAGAGGAACGTTCACAAAAGTTCTTCGATGATTTCACAAACCCCAACGGCATGGAAAGAGAGAATTATGTGGACTCGTTCGATAACTTTTTACAACCCGCATCTTCTGGTGCCAATAAATATAATTTTTACGATGACGATGAATCGAAACAAAACGAATTAGATGAAAATTTTCAACGGCCTATGGGAAATCGTTTGACTCAACAACAGCTATTGCTGTTCGAAGAAGAAAACACTCGTTTAGCTTTGAGTAGAGATGAAGAGGTTTCTAAAGTTGTCAAGACTATATACGATTTAAATGACATTTTTAAGGACCTTAGCCAAATGGTGCAAGAACAAGGTACCATACTTGATCGCATAGATTATTCCATTGAACAGACCCAGTCTCGTGTTTCTGAAGGTTTACGACAGTTACAAAGAGCTGAAATGTATCAACGTAAAAATCGTAAAATGTGTGCAATTTTGGTTTTGGCTGGTATAACATTGTTTATGCTTATTTTGCTTATATTCACAAAATTATAGATGAACCGCAAATATAATCCTTACGCTGGAATTGGTGAACATCATAAAAATATTCCATATCTTGTTTCATTATATGTATTAAACTTACTGTAAAAATATTTATTATATTTAACTTCAAAATTCACAACTAATAACTAAATTAAAATTTCCACTTGCGTTTTTACATTCTTTCGCTGACGCGTGATGCTACCGAACGTAGATTACCGTATACTTTACTAGGTGGAGATCCCAAAATCAAATTACAAATAGCTCTACGGGCCAATTGAATATTTTGATAACTGCCCAGTATATGAATTTTACTATCGGCCAAAACTATACGTGTTTTTGTAACATTTTCAATGGTAAATTTGGTGCGACCACCTTTGCCAGCAAGACGACCAATGGCACGACTCATGTGATCACCTCTTAAAGTTTTCACATCTTTTACTTCGAAAGACTCCACGAACAAATCATCCAAACGTAGTAGGGCCAAGGCATCATCTACTTCGAAGCCACAGAGAAAAGCTTTAACAAAATCCGCACCCTTTTGTAAATTTGAAATATCTGGAGTCTCTGGACTAATACGAACTTCGACCTAAAATAAAAAATAGTTGATTTCTAGAATTTTGTTTCTGGATAAAAAATTAGGAATGGATAGTCATTAACTCTTGGATGGTTAAAAACGTAAATAAAATTATTGGATTAAGTATTATTTTTTTATTTTGATGTATACGTATGTACATGTCGTCACCTAAATCATTGAAGGTATTGCAGCAAAACAGATGTCCGCAGAAAAAAATTGGACTTCGTGGCCCAACGATTTTAGTAAATTGTTTACATACCTATTATTTTATATTTTTTAAATATTTATTTTCTTTTTTAAAGGATTTATTTTGATCAGTGAAACATCCAATTATCAGTCCGCTCAAATTTTCATATAACTTTAAAAGTCTCTTAAGGACAATTGGAAATGTACATATGCATATTATTAAAAAAATTTAGTATTACCTTCACAAGTGAAGTACGCCGGGAAGTTTAACAATTCTCTTAATATTAGATTTTAAGAAGTCTATGTTTCATCTTCAAACAAAAACAATCTTATTTAATTTGTAACTAACCAAAGGAAACCATTTCAAAAGTTTAGCTTCGATAGATTTGATTTACGATTAGTAAACCAAATATTTTAAATACGGGAATAATTTTCTGTTAAACCTACAGTCCGGTTAGTACAACTATTCACTACATGAATTAATCTATACAACTGATTTTTTCTTAAATTTTAAGCAATATTTAGTTACCTGTTTTGCTTTCATATTAAAACGTATCTGTAACTTCATGTGTTCCACAATGGGTGTAAAAATTTTCATCCAGTGTTCTTTGAGTGATGAATATCTAAAATTTCGGAATTTGTAGTAATGGCTTAATATACAAAAAACATTCCTTACCTATGCGGAGGCACTGCAATTTTACGCACTTCACTTTTAACTCGCTTCGCTTTGGGTGGTAGACTTTTACGGACGGCTCCTTCAATGCCTGTTGTTTCGTCAACTTGCATTTCACTGTCATCGTTTAGCGAACGCTTTTTGGCAGTGCGTGTTGGTAAAATATCATCAACTTTTATGTTTTCTACTTCCATTTTGTGTTAATTGTTGTGAAAATTTGTTATAAAATTGAAAATATTTAAGCTGGTTGAAGAAAATCTAAGAAATATCAACACATGTGGTTTTTTGTTGGAAAAGAGAGTTGTCAAAACAAATACAAACGTCAGTCGGAGAGATTTTAAAAATGATGCCACATATAGTATTTTATGCGATTTTTACAGGGTTGGGAAATTCCAAATGGTTTACTATAAAATACGGTTCTACGTCAAAACAAAATGTCAACTGTTTGCAATTTCTGAAAGTCGACTTTTAAACTTTCCATACGAAATTTTGATTTTTGAAATTGTTAACTTTTCGATTTTTTTAATATCGTCTTTTCGTCTTTATCCGACTGTATCCACTTTTTGACATTTTTCACAATGCTTATATTAAAAATAAAAAAAGCTTTTCTTTATTTTTTTGTTTTTTGTAATAATAACTATACTTAGCAAAAAATTGTATATTCAATCATTTTTAATTATCGATTACCTGTGAAAAAACATCGGCTATAACTTTTCGGCAAAAAGTCAAAGTCGACTATTATTATTATTTTTTTTATTTATTTATTCAATATAGCAATACAAAGCCTTTCCAATTTCCAATTGTTATTGCGCAATTTTCGCGAATATTAGTTGTTGCAAAAAAAAAATAGTAAAATGTCATTAAACATTCGAATATTTCTTGAAACGACTTTTTTGAATTATGTCATTCTTGTAGTAATTCGGTTATGTGTATCAATTGAACGATTTTTACGAGTCACTGTATTAAGTAATGTTTAACACAACTTGCCAGACTTTTTTTCTTTTTGTTTACTTTTACAAAAACAACATACTTTAGTTTGAGAGGAAATTTCAAATATTTTGTTTTGTTTGAATCAAGCCAAATAATTTTCGCAAATTTATTTAGTTTTAAATATGAGTGATCAAATTATTTTAACAAAAATTGCTAAATTAGCAAATACGCAAGAAATATCGTGTGATAATAAAAATGTAACGTTCGAGTGCAAGGGTAAAAAATGGTTACTTTTAGATGGCTACAAGGATGATGCAAAAAATATATTTCAACTTATACAAAAATGTAAATTAAAAAAATATTTATGCAAAATTTTTACAATTATAAATTATAAAAAAAAATAATTTCTAGGTGGCCAACATAGGCCCAAAGATTTTGGATTTGCTTCAACTTATGACGGATATTTTGTGGTTGTCTACAGAAATATTATACGCCATAAAAAGGATGATTTCTTTGACCGACTAACGGAGGAGCTACTTGATACAGTGTATCCATATTTAAAAAAACATGCATCTTCATCCTCTGTTAGGGAAAATAAAGTTTTAAAAACATACGTAACCACCCGACTGTTTGAAGCATTACAACTTAAACATACAGAAGTAATGAGACAAGATTTAACCAATGCTGCACAGCGTAGTTTATCACTGCCTTCAAGATTTCTGCCAACTTTATGTGAATATCAGAAAAAAAGCATTTTATGGTTGCTGAAAAGAGAACTAGATCAGGAATCCTTTCCAGACTTTTTTGAAAAACTTACGGCCAAGGATAACGAGACTACGGTATATAAACATTTATATTCTCGTTATATACTTGCCGATCCTCCTGATGATTTGGTATTACCTCCTGGTGGTATTTTAGCTGATGAAATGGGTTTAGGTAAAACTGTGGAAATGCTGGCATTGATTTTATTAAATTCCTGTCTTGAAATCAACTTAAGCCCAAGAATGGAGACGTTCTTTTCAAACACAATGGCAAAACGTAAATGCCTTGATTATAAATTATTTTGCATTTGTAATTCCAATTCAAAATTAAACACCATACAATGTCAAAAATGCCAGCTATGGCAACATCAAGACTGTGTCAATTTCTTTGCTTCTGATATGGACAACGAAGAGGTCAATACGCCATATTTATGTCCTAGCTGCTGGCAGCTTGCGGTAAAAGAATATGGTTTGTTAAAAACAAAAGCCACATTTATAGTTTCACCCAATACCATTAAAATGCAATGGGCTTCGGAAATTAAACGTCATATACAGCCAACTTTAAAAGTTTTTATTTATGAGGGTGTTTTATCGGGAAAATGGATAAGTCCCCGCCAGCTGGCAGATTACGATATAGTACTCACGGACTACAATATATTAAGAGGCGACGTTTATTTCACCCAAGATAATGTCAGTGAACGTTCAACTCGCAATAAACCACGTTCAATGCGAGCCAATACACCCATTCTTATGTTGGATTGGTGGAGAGTGCTACTGGATGAAGCTCAAATGGTAGAATCTAAAACCTCAAAGGTTGCTTCATTAGTTCGTATGATACCCGGTATGCTTTTATTTTATAAGTTTTTTTTGCTTTTATATTATAAGTTTATACTTTATACTATTTTTTCTTTTAAATTATCTAACTTTAGCCATACATCGTTGGGCTGTTACTGGCACTCCCATACAGAATTCGCTTAACGATTTACAACCTTTACTACAATTTATTGGCTTCGAGGCCGCCAGCGAACCTTACGTCTGGCAACAAATAGTCAGTGATTTCGTGCATCAACATGAGCAACAGCTGGAGAATAATAATGCAATTGCCTCCACCTGCCCAGCCATGATAGACATTTTACAAAAATGTATGTGGCGTACCTGTAAAACACAGATAACTTCAGAGTTGAACATACCACCACAAGAAGAGATTGTACATCGCATACAATTCGATAATTTAGAAAAACTCTTCTATAATGAACAGCATGAAGAATGTCGTAATAAATTCTTAGAAAATGTCCATAAGTACAGTAAGAGAATGACCGCAATATCACCACAAGTTATGAATATTGTAAGAGAATTTGTTTTGGGTAATGGATTTTATGTACATATTTTAAATTGTTTCTCTTTTTTTCTAGATTTTACAGCCCTTTTTAAAGATCCGCCAAACCTGCTCTATACCAGTTGTGGTGGCAACTTCTAATGTCAACAGGAATAACAATTTCAATTCTCAGCAACAAAAACAATTTTTGCAACCACAAGAGCTGCACGATTATTTGAAATCAACAAATGAGATTTCTTGCAAATCGGAATTACGTGCCATGGCTTCATCGCATAATGGTAAGTTGTGAAGAAAATTCGATGTTATGTTCGAAATCTTAAGGCTTTCTTTATAACTTTACAACTTTATAACTTTATAATTTTATAACTTTATAACTTAAACAAAACAATTTTTAATTAAGTGAGTTGAAAATTTTCAGGTTTAGCAGCTTTATATTTTTTGCAAAAAAAATATGACGAGGCAATCAAAAATTATAAAGCAGTATTAAAACTGGCTAACGATTACAGTGATATGAATATAGCGTAAGTATTATTAAATTCCTTTTCTAAATAACATTCTGTCATAATCTTAACCATTTAAATTCTTTACACAGTGTTGACAGCTTATTACAAATACATGCACTGCACAATCTAATGCAAATTAAAATCATACAATCGAATATTTCTAAAATAAATTTGGAAAAATATGAAAAACAATATAATCAATTAGAATGGAAGTACTTAAGTGCGTATGCCAGTACTTTAACAACAGTTAAAAGTGGCTATGAAGCAGCAGTGGACAAGTTGAGTGCAGAGATCTCAGAAAATTTCATAATAACAATGGCTGATGGTCTTGAGACACTCTCGTCCAATGATGAATCGATTTTATTGCAAAAAATACATGAAGAGTGTATGCCTAAATTTGGACAAACTAATGTAAAACTTGTTGAGATCCAATCCTCACGTTCATTATTGTATGTGATACAATTGTGGTTTAATAAATTGAGAGATATCTCGAAAACTTTACAAACTGAAATAGAGGATTTAAATTATTTCAGTGAGAATGTACGGGCACGCAATCAAGTAAGTCCAGCTATCTGGAGAAATATTATGCATTTGGTGAATTCTGTTTATGATTGTCATTTAAGTGAAATAAGAGTAAGTTTGCAATAAAGTATTTTTAATATACATATTGCTGAAAATTTGAAATTTAATATTTAGGAAGTACAAAAATCCAAAAAGGATATAGAGAAACAAAAAAAGACTCCCAAAAAGAAAATTTTGTGTAAATTATGCTCCATACGTAACTCCATGAATGCTTTCGAATGTCTGTTATTTGATAAAGTTATTGATAAGGAGACAAATGATACAGAAGGTTTGGAAAATCCTTCCTTTGAAATGTATCTTTGTAAATGTAAGTTTAAATTATTTCAACACACATCAGCTAGATTACTACATATTTTCAATTACAGTAACATTCCATTTCATTAAAAACAAACATCGTATTTTAATCAATATTATGGAAAAGTGCTGGTTGTATTTGGAAAATATGCAATTGTTTTGTAAGCGTTTAATAAAATTTTGGATTGAAATGGAATATACGATTAAAGCTTATGATGAATTGAATATGTGTAAAATGCGCATCACTTTAACCGATGATGCCGAAGATAAATCTATTTTTAAGATAATGGAAAATGAAATTGAAGGACGTTTATTGGAACAACAAAATGAACTTGTGAATGCTCAACATCAATTTACCATAAAATTGGCCCGATTAAGATATATTAAACATTTAGAGGGCAATGATGATCCGGGTCCCTGTCCTATATGCCGTTTAACCGAAGATGATAGAGTAAGAGATGATATTTACAAAATTGCTTTTAATTTAATGTGTGTATATGTATGTGTATATTTTTAGTATGCTGTTTTGGAATGTGGTCATCATATATGTTTTCCTTGTTTGAAATCGATACGTTTATATGTTAAGGGCAGCCACTTTAAATGTTCAATATGTCGTAATTTACAACAAAATCAAAAGTAATTTGAATTACATATATATTTTTAAATAGAAATATATCGTTAATATAAGTAAATTGTCTTTGTAGCTTTATAACTTCTTTTGCATGTCCCTTTGCTTTTATATTGCCATTTATTTAGTTTACTTAATTTTAAATTGTTTTAATGCTTTTCACAATATATTCCCCTTTTCCCCCTTTCTTTAGAATATATTACGTAAGTCGGTCCAAAACAAAATCGATTGATAGTGAAATAATTATAAAGGGAAACTATTCATCGAAAATCACCTATATAGTGCGCTTAATTTTCAAATTACAAAGAGAAAAAATTGAAGCACTTCAAGAGAAGCAAAGTGATTCCACTATTGATGAAGAAGCCAAAGAAAATAACGTTAAAATATTAATATTTTCACAATGGGAGCCTATTATACAAGCAATTGCCTTGGCGCTCAATGAAAATAATATAAAATATCGGGCACAATGTACACCAAAAACAATTGAAGAGTTTAAGGTATAGATATAGATTTTAACGATACGTTTCAAGATAAATATATGATTAATTTCTAAAAACTTTTTAGAATCCAAGTCTTGGCATTACATGTCTGCTAATGCCTTTTGTAAGAGGCTCGAAAGGTTTGAATTTAGTTGAAGCAACACATGTTTTTCTAGTGGAACCCATTCTCAATCCAGGCGAGGAATTACAGGCTATAGGACGAGTTCATCGTTTTGGACAACATAGGTAAATACATATAGAAATATAATTGCATTTGTATATATCAGAGATATAAAATTGCTTAAACATTTTTCAGACAAACTACTGTACATCGTTTCATTGTGCAAGAATCAATTGAGGAAAAGATTTATAATTTTATTATATCTTCCTCTTCTACCTCAAGTGATGCGACCGGTTTACAACGTAAATGGGAATTTGACAATATAACTCTAAAGGATTTCGAAAATTTATTTACTTTAGAAAACGGTGAATGTGATTAAATGTAAAATTATACATTTTTTCATTAAAAACAACAGTATTTTATATTATTTAACTAGTTCTTTGCTTTACATGGAGATTATGGATTGTTTCCTTATATCAGGATTCATGAAAGAAAACTACATCTTGGTTTTTTTTCTATAGAAAATTTTATTTGTAAGAATTTATTTAAGAATAAATTATTAATAACATATTATTTAATACAAAATTTTAAGTATAAAAGTATTTTTGTATTGAACATCACTGTTAATACCATATGAAAATTAAATATGTATGTATAACAGTTATACTTTTAGTTCTTTTGGTTATTACAGCTACTTATTTAGTTACCGAAAAAACAATCGTTTTCCATACCTGCATACTCAGAGTGCTGAGTCTGCAATTTATGAAAAGTCGACTTTCCAAATATTTTCAATTTACAAGTCGATTTTCGAATTTAACAATTTCGACTTTGAAGTTTTTTAGTAAGGACATTTTCCGAGTTTTTCCGAGATTTTAGATTGCTTTTTTTTTAACTACTTCTTCCTACTTTTTGACTTGTTTACTTTTATTTGTAAAGTCTACTTCTAGAGTTTTTTTTAAATATTATTCGATTGTTCGAATTTCGATTTATAAAAACTTATGTAAAGCATTTAAACGAAATGCAAATGCTTCTCTTTTTCTTATGATTCAGTTTTTTTGCGGATATATAATCGAAATTGAAATTAGTATGGTTTTTCAAAAATTTAAAAAGCGCACTTTTTCATTTGTAAAGACAAAAACATTATATTTTTAACATAAATATTGAAAAAGGAGTCAAAGAAAGTCCAACGACGAGAAAGAACATAGAAACATGAAATTATGCACGTAGAGCCCGGAGTAAATGAGAATCTATAAAATGACACTTTTTGGTACTTTTTCGTTCTTTGACTGGTACTTTTTGAGCTTGCTACAAAATTTTAACCTCGAAACATGAAATTAAGCACTTAGAGCCTGGAGTAAATGAGAATCTATAAAATGGGAACTTTATCGTACTTCGACTGGTACTTTTTGAGTATTCCATAAAATTAAACCTAGAAACATAAAAATAAATATGTAGAGCCCGGAGTAAATTATAATCTATAAAAAAGGACTTTTTAGTACTTTTTCGTTCTTCGACTGGTACTTTTTGAATTTTTTATAATATTGAACCTAGAAAAATGAAATTAAGAATGTACAGCCCGCATTAAGTGATAACATATAAAAGGGGACTTTTTGGTACTTTTTCGTTCTTCGACTGGTACTTTTTGAATTTTTTATAATATTGAACCTAGAAACATGAAATTAGGAATGTACAGCCCGGATTAAGTGATAACATATAAAAGGGGACTTTTTGGTACTTTTTCGTTCTTCAAAAGGTATTTTTTGAATTTTCTATAATATTGAACCTATAGACATGAAATTAAACCTGTAGGGCATGGAGTAAGTTAGAACATATAAAACGGGACTTTTTGGTTCTTTTTCGTTCTTCTATTTGAATTTTCTATTATAATGAGCCTAAAAACATAAAACTAAGCAATCAGGGACTTGAGTGAATGAAAATTTAAACTGGAGTATTTCTGGTAATTTTTCGTTCTTTAACTGGTACTTTTTGAATTTTCTAAAATATTGAATATATAAACATAAAATTAAACACGCAGTATCCTAATTGAACGAAAATTTATCTCGCTTACGTCCATTTTGCAAAAAGGGCTCGATATCAATCGAAATCTCTATAGGCCATAATTGACCCTGCCCCCTTCAATAATTGATTTTAACGTTTTCTACGTACTTAATAATACCATAATAAAACAATTTTTATTGGAACGAAAATATGTAATGTAAATATGTATATGAAATCTTCTTCAGAAAATTACTTAAACGCACATAAATGGCTTTCGATGTCGAAGAAAAAAGCATTTTTAGGAACCGAAACCTACATTTATGAAAAATAAAATTTTGAGGATCGGTCCGCCAATATAACCCTCTTACAGAAAATCAGTTTATAGCTAATACATCATTCCAAAAGTTATCATTATGACAGATTTATGGTAGAATTAAAAAAAAATACTTTAAATTATAGAGAACTTTGTCCATAATTGACCCAATTCCACATTTAAGTCTCTAATCCGAAAATCACGTTCTTATTAATCTAATGATCAAAGTCCATACATATATATATGTATATGACCATTTCCGAAATTTGCTTTTTTACGACAAATGATTTGCCGAATATAACTCTTACTCCTTACTTATTTTAATCATAAAGAAATTAACGCTAAAATAGGAATAGTCTGCCTTTAGAGTTGCGAGTTTTCATACACTCTAATAATGTTTTCAAAGTGAAACTTTTGGAATATTTTTCAAAATCTTTGTGATCCCTTTAAATGATGTTGTTCTGGAAGAACTTTAACATCCATGTAAACATTTGGGGTAATGAATTGGGGGACTACCAATGAGGGGAGCGGAACCTCCCATACGAATTAAATACAAAAATTCGTTTATTTGGGAAACTAATAGAACTAAATTCTTAAAATTTTGCACGAAGAACTTTAATATTCATCTGAACATTTTGGAGAAAAAAGGGCGGACTTCCATCTGTCGGGCTTGGAGCTCCCATATGAATTAAATAGAAAAATTCGTATATCTGAGAAACTATTAGAGCTAGAATCTTCAAATTTTATTGAAGAACATTTAGAGAAATTGCAATAATTTGCGTGGAATCTCCCATATGTAACAAATTGTATATCTGCAAAACCATTGTAGTTAGAATCATCAAAATCGTTAACTGGGTTTCTTATTTATATTGCTTTTAGGATAGCACAGCACACTGGGTATAGCTAGTAAATAAACAAATAAAATATATTTGTTTTTACGTTTTATATGGAGGATAGGGTTAAATATCGGCAGATCCTCGTAAAACTTGGAGAAAGGATTTGTTTTTAATTTTTAAGAATTTTTTATTCATCCCTGCATAATTTCTCACACAACTTTTGAGCTTGCTCTGTTTTGTTGTTATAAACAATATATTTGCTTCCAAAATCCCACTTTCTGATCTCTCGGATTCTGTTTATATTTAAAATCGTTGAAAATTTAAAAACTAAACGTAGGTGAAAACTTAGCCGGCTTACAGTCGATTTTAAGCCGCCTCCGATTTATTTAGTGTCTGTCGCCGCCGCCGTTAATATTTGTCGGCGCAGGACTCTGTCACAGAGTGTATAATTAAAGTAAATTTTTGTTTTGCCATTTATTTAAGAAATAGTGCGAGAAATATTATTTAAATTAATAAACTTAATAAATCAAAAAACACCAATATGGATGCCGACCAATTGAAACAATTACAGGATAAAAATATACAGAAATTTCCCAAAGTATTGGAACAATTCAATAAAGAAGTAAGTATGAGGTAGTTGTTAATAAAATGTAATAACTTCTAGAAGAGGGTGGAGAAAAAAAAAGGAATTTAGTCAGTCATATTCATAATACTTAATTGGATTAACAAACCGCAAACCAATTTCTTTTTCTAGAATGCCAATCTTTTCAAATTTGATAAATTTCACAAGAATGACTTGTGGATTACATTGTGGAAAACGGTCTTCAACATATTGAATGATGAGCGTTTGGAGGAGCACCATATATTGTGTTTAAATACGATACGAATTTTATCCCGTGACGAAGCGAGTCTTATGAAAAACAACATAGTAGATGACATAGGTTGCCTGCTTAAAATGGCCCATTTAACTATGAGTAGTTCGTTGGTGGGAGAGCCCTCACAGGAGCAAGAGTCACCACGTTCGGTTAGTTCATTGGATATTTTGGTGGATTTTAATATGGAACGTGTGGTTGAGGCTTTGAAATGTCTGTGCAATTTGGTTTTTCAAAATGCTGAGATAAGACGGGATTGTGTAAGACAAAATGTGGCCGATCAAATATTCCATAGGTTGTCATCAACCCTACAGGTGCCCGAAAAAATTGAGCTGTTTGATATGAAGTTATTGTTTTTAATAACCGCTCTTGAGACTTCAGTACGTAGTCGTGTGCTGTTTGAGCTTAATGGTTTGACCTATATGACCGAGTTAATGGACGAAAAGCTACGCAGCACAAAGGAATTCTCCGATGGACAGTTGGATGTAATTATTGAAATGCTTAAAGTTATGTTTAATATAACTTCTTGCACCGACAAAAGTCCCAGTGAGAACGAAATACAAAGTCTTCATTTAACAAGTGTTATACGTGATTTATTGTTGCGTTTTGGAGCCATGAGTAATGAACGTGAGCGTCAAGTGGTTTCCCATTCTATAGATCTCCTTACCAACATTTCCAGCAGCTGTCTCAGTGAGCTTATGTTAAAGGTTGATGGCCCCTCGTCATCGTCTGCCTCTATGGAAAATTGTCGTATTTTTGAAAACCGTAATGTTACAGCTTTAGATATTATACTCAATTTCCTACTCTATGCCCTTGATGATTTGGAAAAGAACACTTCTTCTAATAAGGAACATGTCCAGCCGGTCTTAACTATTTTAGTGAAATGTGTTTGCAGTAATTCAACTATGCGTCACTATGTGCGTAGCATAGTTTTACCACCTTTAAGAGATGTTTACAAACGTCCCGAGGAAGGTAACGAGTTGAGAAACTATCTTTGTCGCCTTCTCATGAATCCCAACATGGTGGTACGCAACTTATCCTATGAATTATTGCTCGTTTGCTGTAAGAAAAATCCCAGTCGTTTGATAAAACATTTCGGTTACGGCAATATGGCTGGTTTGTTCGCAAATGCTGGCATTTTAGATTGCCGCAAGCCGGATACTAGTGAATATTCTTCGGATAGTGAGGACAGTGATACGGAAGAGTATAAACGCATTAAGCATTCAGTTAACCCAGTTTTGGGTTGTTATATGCCTCCAACCACCAATCCATTGGATGGCATGTCGGATGAACAAAAGGAATATGAAGCCGAGAAGTTGGCTCAATTGGTGGATAAATTACATCGTGGTGGTATTATAAAGCCCTGTCGCATCAACGAAGAAGGTAAACCCGAACCTGTCGATCATATCTTGCAATTACAGCAGGAATTGCCGCAGCAACAGGTACAACAAAAAGGTAAAGATTAAATTTCTAGTAGTTTTAATTAAGTATTATAGTAGATATACAAATAATTAAAGTTATTTGATAAATATTAAGCTGTAGCATAAATAGATTGTTACAGCATTAATATTTATCAAATTAAACCTTTATA